AATTAGGCTCTAATGTTTCCATATACATCTGCATCTTGTCCAGGGCACCTGCCAAGCCTGCTGTGAGCCTCCACAGAAGTGGGCAGCAATACACTGACAACTTCCCAAGAGTCTGAAAGGTTATTTCTTTTTGTATAATATAGCACAGATAAAGATATGACAAGTCAGCACCCTAAAGAATGCTTTGGGGAGGTCTTATTATAGGAAGAGACTCAGGTAATGAAACTTTGAAGAATTAACCTCAATTTCTTAGCATTATAACTCAACAGAACTTAGAACTCTGGTAACCAGGCACATACATTCCAGAGAGAGTGCCTTATTCAGTTCATAAAGGGAGATATGCAAGATAAAAAGATGTTTTCATGATGTAGCCAAACCTTCCAAGATTCTAGGCACAAAAATGTACAGAGCACATTTATATGTTGGCTCAGCCCTCACACCAGATCCTTATGGCCACTTATCAGGAGGCACTGACAGGTAAAAGGGAGCAGCCCAGAGAAAATCAATCCAGGCAAGTCCTCATCTGAGATCACATCTGGAAAGTATTTTGACCTTCCTGTTCTGTGTATGTGTGTGTGTTGGGGTGGAGGGGGAGTGGCGGTAATTGCAGGGGACCTAAAATGGCAGAATTAGGTTATTTCAGAAATTGGGTAATAGGGTGGATATTTAAATATTTGATTCTAGTTTTTCTACTCAAATATTTATCCAAAGACTTTATTCTCTAATCCAGTATATGGAGGCCTATACGTATGTTTATCTATATCTGATCTGTGCATAAAAATTTTCAATGGGAGTATCCTTTGTGGAAACAGAGATTTATTACATGTTAATTATTGTCCTACATTTAAGACAATCACTTTGCTGAGTTCCATGCATATCATCAAGGAGCTACTTGTTAATTCCATCTTCTTGGGGAAATAGCAAGTGCACCACACAACCCACAACGGTATCTCTGGTCTGAGGTTGGATGATCTTACTGGAGAAGGGTCTCCACAGGAAGGAACTGGAGATGGCTGGAATATGCCAGAACAAATACCCAGATTGGAGACTCCATTAATCTTTGAGAACTTTACCACTTGGATGACCTACATGTCCATTCCCAAAGAAATATAGACTGTATTATTCCCCTGACAGCATAATACATGTAAATCTTCAGATTACATATTTTTAGAAATAACAGAGAAAATATTTTCACATGATTGTCAGTGTTTATTGGGCACTAAATATTTCTTTCTGTTTAGCTACCTGACCCAGGTAGCTCATGCAGCAGTCAATTCCACTGACCTTGTAGTCCTTTTATGAGATTTATATACCAATATTCTTATGAGGAAAGTATTGACACAAAGAGGAGTGAGAGTTACACAAACAAAGGAGAAAAAAGTTATCTGTTTTTCTTTCTTTTTTTAAATGACTGTGCCATACCACAAAAAAAATCTCTATAGCTCCTTAAGGTAAGGAGCTTTATCCCTCACAAGCCTTCAGAATATTCTAGTAAGAAATGTCTTTTCTTGCATCAGGTCAGCCTTTCAATGTTTTTGGGATGTGATGTGATCCAATTGTAATTTCATTTAGCCAAAGTGCAGGAACAGTGTATGTGTATCATAATGGGCTGTATCAGTGTCACAGGGCTATCATAAGACAATGCCACAGATGGAATTAAACAAAAATTTATTTGTTCTATTTCTAGATTCTTATATCAAGGTGCTTGCTGGAATGATTTCCTTTGAGGCCCACTCTTTGATATGTAGATTGCCATCTTCTGTCTGACATTTTTATGGGCTTCTGTGTGTCTTTATTGCTGCTGTTTATAAAGAGGAAAAGTTCATTGGATTAGACTTTACACTAATTAACTGAGTTAACATTAATCATGCCTTTAAGAATCATATATTCAAACAGAGTCATTCTCTGAGGCACTTTGTATCTAGAATATCAACACATGTGATTTGGGGAGGGGACACAATCAGCTGAAAACATAAACTAGTCTCCTGCTGAATACATACTCTTAGAAAAGAAAATAGTGAGTAAAGACACACACACACACATAACATTTTAATAGCTACCATCAGATTATATCACAGAAAGGCTGCTAAAGTTACATGATCACAAGAAATTTCTGGTTGTAGCTGCTTCTCTGCAGCCAGGCTTCCCTAGGGTTTGGCTTTAAGAAAATAAAATTGGTTAATATCTTGTACTTACAGCAAATAAAATCATACTGTTTCATTTTTTTCCAGTTTTCCAAATGACAAGTTTGATTTACCTTTCAATTCATTATCAGCTATTTAGATTTTTTCTTCCCTGAGCCATACTCAGATTTTGGGCCCTGTGATGTGCTTTCTTGCAACCTGTAGTCTCCAAGCATTTGCCCCTGTGAAGAACCTGGTTTGACATGTAGGAGAAAATTAGGATCAGAACACTTTTGAGATCTGAGAAAACCGCTTTATTAGTAGGACCACCATCTCAGAGAGATGATTCCTAAAGTCTGAGCCCTGAGCACTTTGGAACTTCTACTTTTATACAAAAGCAAGTTTGAGGTACATCAAGGCAACAGAGTTGGTGCAATGCCATTGGATGGTGCAGTCTACATTCCTTACGTGGATGCAAAGTTGTGAACAATGTAGGAGACTCTTAGCTCATAGAGCTTAGGTACTTTTACTGCATTAAAACTAAAGGGGGATTGTTCTGTCCCCATTGCTTTATTTCCTGCTTCTGGTACTGTTATTACCTTTTACAGGTACTTATTAGCCACTGCACTCCTCTATGGTTAAATGTCAGTAAAAAGAGCTGCTGCTAGAAAGCATAAAAAAAACCACAGCCTCAGTTAAACTGCTGAGTTTCCATTTTCCTCTACCACAGACACCTCTTTCTGAAGACTTCTCTCACATGAAAGAAGGATAACCAATAGTCTTCAAGTCAAAGAGACTTCCTGGGTTGTCTTCTCTAGGCTCTGTCTTTAAAATGGGGAAGGAATCATATTTCTCCAGATGGGCATCCTCTATATTAGGAACAACCCAGACTTTGAGGAGCTTTGAAGGAATTTTACACAGTTCTGTCCTGGACAGTTCTCAGTTGTGACACATGCTGTTGAGAAGCCATTTGGTATCTAGAAGCCTGTGTTTTCTCACCTCTACAATTGGATGCTTTTGGAGGACACGGGTGGATGGATAATGGATTCATGAGTTCTCTTGATATATATAGATTCTGTGCTTCCACAGCTGACAGAACAATTTGAAGATACTCTGAAGTTATTGCTTTACCATTATATGGCATTCCACAACAATTTTCATTTCAGAAGATTATAACCTTGACACCGTGGACACTCATGTCATTCACATACCCAAATACACTATATCACCTCTTCCTTGTTTGAAATCCAAATGCAAATTACCTGATGATTTATGGTACTATCAAAATTATTTATTTTTATTTGGCCTCCTTTTACTCTATGTCTTCAATAATACAATTTTCTGCTACTTCCCTTTTTAGCCCATGTCCATCTTTATTTTGAAAACATTGGACTTGGTATTGGTGGTCCTTTATATCCTTCTAAATCAGCCTGTTTCTATAATTGATAAACCCTGATTAAACTGACCTCATTTTTGATATCAAATATATTTTTGATGTGTAAAAAGGGGACATGATGAATTAGAGTTGTTTTTTTTGCCCTTGTGTAAACTGAACCAGGATTCCCTGGATCCTGAAACAAGAGGCCCAAGATGACTCAGATGTATGAGAATGTTCTGTTCATATTATACTAAATAATTCACTGGACTGGAATATATATATCACAAATCCTGCTTTTCAGTTTCCAAATTGGAAGAGAATAAGAAATGTTGTGTCTTGTGATCTGGTGAAGATGTTTTGGCTTTGCAATCAGACACAGCTCTTCCTAAGTCCCAGCCCAGCTGTTTATTAGTTGTCCACTGAAGGAAACAGATATTACAACCTGGCTAATAATTCTAAGGCCAAATTGTCAAATAAGGTGTTTGCCTTTAATGTATTTAAACAATAGAGTCAAGGCTGTGGACAGATTACAAGGTATGTGTCCCTAAACCCCTGGGAACCCATCTTCTTTTATTTGCTGATATCTGGAATGGGAAAGAGCCTCTGACCAGCACCAAGTGGGAAAGCCTTTCCTTGTTAAAGCTCCCTGCTCTCACTCAGGACATTGTCTCTACTGCTAGTTGAGCCTGAGGAGAAATATTAGCAAGGAACTGTAGCCCTCTACTCTAGCACATAAAAGGTTAGACCAGGTCCCTTACCTCTTTGATGTAAGGGCTTCCACAGATCACAAATTTGGAACTTGGCTGCTATGCTTCCATATGTTGGAGAGAAAAGATTTGAATGTATCATTCCAAAAATACATATACTTCATTACTATGTCATGTAAAGGTAATATTATGGATATATTGGATTATGTTATTAAAAAATTTTTCAACTTCTTTTTTGTGTGTGTATATTTGTGTGTTGCTGGGGATCGAACCCAGGGCTTTGTGTATACGTGGCAAGCACTCTACCAACTGAAATATATATATAATTTTCATTTTCTAATGTGCATCCTAGAAAATTTTAAATTACTCTTGCCTTATGTATTGTTTCATTGGACATTGTTGCTTTATTTATTTTTTTATTAATTTGTTTTATTGACTTTGTTGCTTTAGAGGTTGCTTCCCAGCTCAAAGTTCAGTCTGTCTCCCAAGAAGACCAAAGAACAGAAAAATTAAATGAAAACCTTTACAGTAATTGTCATTTTTTCATTTACAAATAATATACAGGTGTATATAACCCATAAACTGAAATTACCTTATATATAAGGTTAAATGCAAATGTTCTGTAGTTGGGCTAGATCCCACTTCTGAGAGAAAATCTTGCCTTAAAATAGCAGCAGCCTAAGGCTCTGGGGTGCAATTCCCAAGTCTAAAATGAAAAAGAAAAAAGAAAAAAGAAAAGAAAAGAAAACCTGTCATTCTGGCCTCATTCTTGCCAGGAGTGGATATCATCCCCTGGCAGTCAAAAAGAAGGCTCACCGGCTCAGGCTGGGGAGCAGGAAACTGACTGAAGCCTCGTCCAATCAGGAGTCTTGCTGAGTATTGTCCAATCCAGAGCGCAGCCAGCGAGGAGGGGGCGGGCTTCTGCGCTTCCGGTACAGGCTTTTCCTCCGGAGTCCGCCATTCCTGCAGTTCAGCTCCAGATTTTGGTCCGGTACTTAGGATCTCGGGTTGTTCTGCGGCGCAGGTGCTGAAGGTCCCCAGGGAGCATGTCTGACTGCTGAGCACCAGAAAATGGTGAGTGTGCTGCGGTACCTGGAGCCTTGGCAGGGAGGCTGGGGAAGGAGCCTTCAGGCAGGACTGGCTGTGGAGGGAACCGGAGCTGGTAGAACCGGACTCCGGGCAGCTTCTGCCCCGCAGGCCTTAGCCCTCCTTGGGGGCATTGCCTCACAGTCCCACTGGCTAGCCAGATGGGGAATGTGTCAGTGGCGGAGACCCCCTGCAGCCTCCCACCCGCTCCTGACCTCCTCAGCCCCAGCTCAAGTCCTCTGTGGCGGAGGAGCGCGGCAGCTCGCCGCAGCTCGCCGCAGCTCCCCGCAGCCCAGCGTCTGCCCCGGGGCTGTGGTGCTTGACACGTGTGAAGAGCGTCGGAATCCTATCTCCAAATGCTGTTTTCCTCTAGGAGGAGAGCTGTGGTGTACAGGGTCCTTGATTATTCCCAAGCTAGGTACTTTTCAATATTTTTTTGTTTGTTTTGTTTTGGTACTGGAGGTTGAACAGAAGGGTGCTTTAACACTGAGCCAAATCTCTGGTATCTTTTATTTTTATTTTTTTTAATTTTGAGACAGATTGCAGCTAAGTTGCTGAGATTGGCCTTGTTATGGTTTGATGTATATCGACCTTCCTATTTGCAATCAAGTATATCATTTTTACACATGGATTCACCTATGGATTTTGTTTGTATTGTGATTCCATATATATATTATAAGTTTTATGTGGACATAATACCTTATTTTATTTATTTATTTCTTAATGTGCTGCTGAGGTTGGAACCCAGTGCTTCTCACATACTAGGCAAGTGCTCTACTACTGAGCTACAACTCCAGCTCTATATTGTGATTCCTTGATTATTATAATAGTAAAGTTTCATAATATATATGTCAGGTGATGATAACTACTTATTTTTTTCTTATAATTGAAAACTTTCTTGGCTAAGTTTGCATATATTTAACTTTGTGGATGGATTTTTGGAACTGTTTGTTTTAATTTTGTCTTTAATTAAAAGTAAAGCATGCTGATTTTTAAAAAATTTAATAGTTATAGAAGGACAGAATGCCTTTATTTTATTTGTTCATTTTTATGGGGTGCTGAGGATCCAACCCAGTGTCTGATGCATGCTAGGCAAGCACTCTACCACTGAGCTACAGCCCCAGCCCAGCATGCTTTTTTAAAAAAAGAAATTAGTGCATTATAGTTATACATAATATTTAGGTTCATTTTGGTATAATTATACTTGCATGAAATATAATTTGTTCCTCTTCAATACCCAGTACTTTCCTTTCCCTCTCCTGTCTTCCCCTGTTTTCAATTTATTTGTAGAGTTTTAAAAATTACTGCTTTATAGATGCACATAAATGTAAAATTGACATTGATATATTCATATATGTACATAGAAATTTTGATGGGAAAATATTGTAAGTTAATTTTGGAAAAATTATCATCTTTGTAGTGATGAGTTTTATCATCTACACATGGGGTGTGTAATTGAGTCTTTTATGTACTTCTGATGATTCAATTTTTTTCATAAGTTCTATATACTTTCTTTTTAAACCTGTTTACATGGGAATCACCACATGCATATGGAGCCTATGTAAAACCTAAACATGGTGTGTTATACTATTTTATTTTTTAATGGATGTACTGTGACCAAAAATGTGACTTGCCCCTAGTGACCAGTTTCCCCACAATTTATTACTCATCACTTCCATTCTTTTGAACCATCACTCTGGGTTTCAAGTGTTTGAATGTGTACTGTTTTCCTACATGTTATCATGGTCAGATGTACTATAATTTCAGTGTTTCTGTGGGTGAGTATTATGTATCTTTATTAGCAAAAGAATTTCCACCAATAGATAATAATTCTAAAAAAGTTTAGGGGAATAAATTTGTTTCATATCTTCATCAATACTAATTTTGTCCAGGATGGGATTTCATTTTAAATTTCTCTAATTTCTAAAAATGTTGAATTTTTTATGTTTACTGAATACTTAGATGTCTCCTGTATAAATTGGCAGTTTGTTTCTTGCCTGCATTTCCTTTGTGATTTCCGGTTTAAAAAGATAAGAAAATAGATTGAAAGAGGCAGCTGGAGTTTGATTTCAGGAAAAAAAATGAATTTACCTTTAATTATTAAAAATTTTTATTTCCATTTTTTCCTTCTCTTGTGTATGTATTGTAGGTTTCTCGTCTTTATTTTTGGAGGTTATTTCAGATGGAATTCTAGGGCTTTTCTTTGGAAATTCTAACAAGAAAAAGAAATAAGGCAAATCTCTCTTCCCTATGACTGCAGAAAAATGAATATATTTTCTCAAAAACACCTGGTAAGTAAATTTTTTAAATGACACAGTCGCTAAAACATCCACTCTTCTTCCTTGAAGGTGTTTTTTTTTTTTTTTTTTCTTGAATGTTTTTGACAGTGAATCATGTATCCTATTACCTTGATTTTGGAGTTTAATACAAATCATAAGGGATAAGATTTGGCCAATCCTAGAAATATTCAGACATGATTTTATTTTTAGAAATAGTTACATTTTTTTTCCCCAATATCTTACAAGCCCTTTAGATTATTTTCTTCCTTGTGTCTTACTCAGACTCTGGGACTTCAGTGTGCTATTTGTACCCTGTAATCTCTAAGCATTTGCCCTCATCAGGAGTCTGGGTTGATAGGTCTTGTTTCTCCAAAGTTCCTTTAACATGAAGGAAGATAATACAGTTGTGTCGCTCCTGGGACATTTTCTCTAGGCACTCTCTTCAAAATGGGGGAGGAAATAATATTTATCTGGACTAACTTCCCCTATATCAGGAGCAAACTAGTCTTTGTGGAGCTTTGAAGGCATTTCATATAGTTCTGTTTCTGGGTAGTTCTCTATATGCTGCTGAGTTGCCATTAGATGTCCAGAAACTTATGTTCTCTCATGTCTACAATGGGAATAATTTTAGAAGACACAGATGGATTATGTGCTTCATGGAGCCTACTAATACATGTGTATGCTGTGGCCCATAGATGACAAAGCACCTGGAAGACACTGCAGATACTAACAGTTTAACCATCATCTGCCAGTCACATGGATTTTCTTTCAAAAGATTGTGGTAACCTTTTCATTATAGGCCCCCATGTCATCCACATGACTAAATATAAAATGTTGAGTCCTCCTCATCTGAATTCCAGATTCCATTTCTCAGGTGATTCAAGGTGGTGCAACTAATTGCATGTTTCTCCTTGCCCTCCATTTGCTCTATGTCCTCCATAAAAGATTTTTATGCTTAGAGGCATAAAATTATATATATATATATATATATAATACATAGTATATAAACATATACTTAGTATATAAAAATATATACTATGTATACATGTATGCATAGTACATATATACTATGTATAGAATATGTGTGTATATACTATGAATTATATGTGTATATTATATATACTAGTATACATACATATATAGTACATAATAATACACACAAACACATACACACACACAGAAATCCTACTGTTTTGAATATGTTCACCTATGTTTAGAAAATGACAGAAACCTGGATCATTTTCTGATTTTAAAGGAGGACTGGGATTATGTCTGAACTGGAATTTCTCTGGGTCCTGCAATGGGAGCCCCATGACAAATTAGCTATGAGAATGTTTGTCATAAAATATATTTGTGTATATAATAGCATAGATGTCATATAATGCTAGAAGTGAGGGATACAGTTCCATACCAATATTTCTTCTAGATGCAAAAAACAGTAGAGACACTATCCTGAGTGAGAGTAGGGAATTTTAACAAGAAAGTTTCTAGAAGTAGACTTTTTCCACCAAATTCTGGCCATGATCTTTTCCACTCCAGATATCGGGGCTGGGGATATAACTCAGTTGGTAGAGTGCTTGCCTTACATGCACAAGGCCCTGGGTTCAATCTCTAGCACCACACACACATACACAAAAAGACTTAAGATATCAGACAGGGCTGGGGTTGAGACTCAGTGGTAGAGTGTTTGCCTAGCACACACGAGGTATTGGGTTCGATCCTCAGCACCACATAAATGTAAAATAAAGATATTGTGTGTCAACCTAAAACTAAAAAATAAATATTAAAAAAAATATCAGACAGTAAGCAAAAAAAAAAATAAACACACCCACATATATATAAATAATATATTTAATATGTAGTTTAAATATATTTTAAAAGATATAGATTGATAGATATATTACATTATATATGCACACACACATTACATTATATATACACACACACACAAATACACACACATAGAAATCTTGTTTTTTTGAATATATAACACTAACCAAGTCCTAAAATTAAAAAAAATAAGTTATATGAGTTATGTAATGTGGTGGAGGTATTTGGGCTTTCAAATTAAATACAATTCATTTCTATTTGTAATTTATTTTGGGGTACCACCGAATGAACCCAGCGGCACTCGGATATATCATCAACCCTTTTTTGTATTTTATTTAATGACAGGGTCTCAATTAAGTTGTTTAGGGCCTCATTACATTTCTAAAGCTTACTTTGAACTTGTATTTTTCCTGCCTCAGCCTTTGGAGAAAAAAGTCTACTTCTAGAAACTTTCTTGTTAACTGAAGTTTCAAGCATAAGCCACCACATCTGGTGATACTTGTTTATTAATTGAAGGGGCTTTGGTCATTGGAGGAAAAAAAAAATATCAGACTCTGGCCATTAGGTCTAATGTAGTTGGACACAATACTTTTTTTTAATTTATTTTTTAAATTTTATTTATTTATTTTTATATGGTGCTGAGGATTGAACCCAGGGTTGATGTGCTAGGCGAGTGCTCCACGACTGAGCCACAGCTCCAGCCCCAAGGAGTTTACCTTTAATGCATTTAAATAATAGACTCAAGGCTGTGGATAGATCTGAAGACATGAGCCCCACCTTCTGGAACTTCACCTTTTGCTTGCTATCTGATATCTGGAATGGAAGGGACCATGGCCAGCATTTGGTGAGAAAAAAATCTACTTTTGAAAATATTCTGGTTAAAGTTTTCTGCTCTCACCCAGGGCAGTGTCTCTTCTATTTTTTTTTTTTTTTTTTTTTTTGGACTTGAGGAGAAATATTGTTGAGGAATTGAATCTCTCACCTGTAGGAGCAGTAAGGAGCTTCGTCTCCTTGAGGTCAGAAGAACTATAGCTCTGAAATCTGAAATATGGTTCTGAGAACTGAGATATTCTGGAGGCTCGACATATCAGTTTTGAGGGTGTAGTCCCCAAAATACATCTATTTCTTTAGTAATATTTTATTGGATACATAACTTTAATATTCCCATAATGAATATATTGGGTTGTGTTATTAAAATTAATTTCTACTATTTATTTATTATTTTTAGAAGTTTTCGATGGACCTTTATTTTATTTGTTATTTATATGCAGTGCTGAGAATTGAACTCAGTGCTGGTAAGTGCTCTACCACCAAGCCACAACTCTAGTCCTACTATTTATTTTTTTATGTGAATACTAGAACAATTTTGATTAGGCTTGTGACTCACATATTTTTATCATTGGGAAGTGCTGCCTTATGGGATTGCTTTCCAGTTCAATGTTCAGTCTGTTTCCTCAGAAGAGGAGAGAGCAGGAAAGTTAAATGAAATTTTACAGTATTTTCATTTTATTATTTACATTTATAAATAATATACAGGCATATATACCCACAGATTGAAACGGCCTTCTGTAAAAGGTTAAATGCAAATGCCCTCTTGACTGGGCTGGGTCCCACTACTACAAGGAAACCTTGCCTTAAGTCAGCTGCATCCTGAGGCTCTGGATTCTGGATTTCAATTCCCAATACCTAAAAAAAAAAAAAAAAAAAAAAAAGAACTGCAGCCAAGAACCTGTCATTCTGACCTCATTCTTTTCAGCATATGGTCTCACCTCCTGTAACTCAAACATAAGACTCACTATGCTCAGCCTGAGAGGGTGAAGATATAAGCCCTGTCCACTTAGGATTCCTTAGGTCAAATCAAGCACATGGCCAATGACTAGGAGCAGGCTTTGACCACCTGGTGTGGCTTTTGTCTCTTGAGCCTGCAAGCATTGTTATTCATCTCTAGGCTTCCTTTTTGTTCCTCTTTCATGTTTGCTCTGCTGTGCAGGTACTGAAAGATCTACTGAGAGAGCACTGGGCACCTCAAAAACCATTAAGTGGTGAGTGTGCAGTGGCTTCTTGAGACAGGGGGCATGGCTACTTGAAATTGGCTGGATTATAGTGGGAACTGATGATTGTGGACTGGAATTCCTTTGGTAATTTCTTGAATCTGCAGGCCTAGGTACTCCCTGGGCCAGGTTAGCCCTGAGTCCTTACTGGCCAGTCAAGTGGGGCATGTATCAGCAATGAGGAACCTGAGATTCCTGTCTTATTTCTGCAGAGAAATCCTATCTGAAGGTGCAGCATTCCAGCACCTTCCCAGAATGTGGATTGAATTGAATCGAGCAGTGGGATGATCATCAGTCACAGCTCCATGTATGTCTTCTTGCATGAGGGGGGCTGTGGTTCTGCAGGAGTCTCAGTTCTTCCTTCCTCTTGAGCTTTCTATTCTTTCTTTTTTTGTAAGGGTAGGGGTACTGTGGATTAAACCCAGAAGTCCTGTATCACTGAGCTATATCCTTTTTACTTTTCATTATTATTATTTTTATTTTGAGACAGATGCTGAGTCTAGCCTTGAACTTGTACTTCAGTTTCCTGAGTTTCTGGAATTACAGGTGTGTGCCATCCTGCCTGGATTCCCCTGAATATTCTAAATTTATGGAAAGCAAAGTATCAAATCCAGAACCCCATCTCCCAGCCTAAACCTCTGTACATCTGTCAGTACATTCCTTAACTACCACCTTCCTGTCCATATTCTCAATTACAGTGTTCCTTTCTCCACAGTACTGTCAATTATTTTTTTCACCATGCTACATTTCAAATGGGTACAGTATTTTTTAAATTGTTTTACCAAGAACTGGATGGACCTTTTTAAGGGATTTTTTTGTTTTTCCTGGCTGCGAACCTCAAATTTTAGGTAGACTGTGGGCAAGTGAGCAAGACCTGTCTCAAAATATTTAAACAAGGGCTGGGGATATAGCTCATATTTAACATGCTTTTGTGTTAAATCCCCAGTACCACAGAAAAATAAAAAGCAAAAGATTTGTTTTCTGTTTATGAGAAAGAGAAAAGTAGAGAAGAATCACTTGACTTTTATAAAAATGTGGTATGTGTATCCTATCTTTGTCTCTCCCAGGCCAGAAACCCTGACAGGATGTCTTTGGGCTGAGAGTTCCCTTGTGGAATTTATGTCTGTGATA